GTGGTACCAGGGATCAAACTCATTGCCTTGCACTTTCAAGGCAGGCGTGGTGCCACTGAGCTAAATCCCTGACTCCTTTTTTAATTCTTGTTTTAGAAAATAAGCTAAGTTCAGGAAAGTGTGAAGGCAAGAAAAATGTGACCATTAATTCTTTCAGCAAGTGGCTTTTAATTTTTTAACATAATTCCTTTTAGCATTCTTTCTGTGTGATTACATAGTTGAGAGCATATTTAATATTTAGCTTCAGATCCTGCTCATTTTTCATATTATAAACATGTTGACTTATTATAAGCTCTTGGTAAATTTTTTTTCCTTTTTTGAGACAGAGTCTCACTGTGTGGTCCAGGCTGGCCTTGAATTTGCCATGTAGCCTAGGCTGGCCTTGAACTGATGATCTTCTTGCCTTTGCCTCCGGAGTGCTGGGATTACAGGTGTTCGTGCCATCAGGCCCGGGTTTGGTAAATGCTTAAGGGTGAAATAGAATTTGATTATATGTTGTGCTATCATTTGTTTAACCAGTTCTGCAAGTGTTAAGTATTTAGGCAGTTCCTAAGTTCCCACCAGTGTAAATAATATTACTTTGAATATTTCTATTATTAAATCTTTATCCGACTTGAAGATAGTAGGATTGATTGATTTCTTTTTTTTTTTTTTTTGGTACTGGGGATCGAACTCAGGACCTTGTGCTTGTAAGGCAGGCAGCCGAACCACTGAGCTAAATCCCTGGCTGAGTAGGATTGATTTCTACTAGTGAAGTTCATGAGCGAAGGGTGTGAACCTATTTACAAACTTAATTTGTAAAACATAAATGTAGGGCACGGTCCATTGCAAATGATTGTGATGTAATGGCTTTGCTTGAACCATTAGTGTCTTAAATCTGAGATGTAGTTAATGTTAACTGGCTAATTTTATTGGCAAGACTCCATTTCAGGTAATATTGGAGCTTTACAAGTGAGGTTGCTGTTGTTCATTCTTGTGATTGTTGTTGGTTTTCTCCAAAAAATGCCAATAAAGCTGTAACATAGCAAAAGAATCAATTTGAAACATGCTTTTCTCTCATAGGATTAATTTAATACAGTTAGTAAAAATGCAACATTTATTGCTAATGCTGTTTGTTCTAGCATTTACCATAAAATAGTATAGAATTCTTAGGAATCTTACTATAGATTAATGTGGCAGGTTCAGTAATCTTGAAATGTAGGACAGAGCTCATGAAAACAAATGCCTGCAGAATCTTAGCAGTAAGCTAGTTCAATTGGTGATGGTTTTAAATTCAGCAGCAGGAAGTTATTTTATTTTCCATTCATTAACTCCTATACACCTTTGTCCAACTTAACTGAATTTCAGGGAAATTTTTTCTTTTTAAGCAGTTTTATTGAGGTCTAATTTAAATACCATAAAAACCTACCCCTTCTAGTATACAATTCAGTGGATTTTTAAAAATTAGATTTCTAGAGTTATGTAGCCATCACAATTCAGTTTTGGAATGTTCCTAGCTTCCCTTTTTCAGTTTATAGTTAATCTCTGATTTTGACCAGTGCTACACAAATTGCCTTTCTATTATGTTTACCTTTTCTGGACATTTCATGGACTCACACAATGTGTGGGTTTTTCTCAGTCTGTTTTTTTCAGCATAATATTTTGAGGATTCATCCATGTTAGAGCACATATCAGTACTTTGTTCCTTTTTGTTGTTAAATAAATAGTATTGCGTTGTACGGATATACCACATTTTATTTGTCCATTCATCTGGTAAGCACCTATGTACGTTAAAAACTTGGAGGGATTTTGTTGACTGGTACTTTAAAAAAAATTAAAATAGTCATTGTAATTAGTGCCCTGCTTAATTAAAAACATGCCCTCAATTCATTAACTTGGAAGGAAAGTTTGATGTGGTAACATACCACAGAGGTAGCCAGCCTACAGCATGAAGCTGAAAAACATTTAGCAGAGCACATTCTGAGAAGTAGTAGGGACTGGGCTGAGAAAGAGCTGCGTGAAAGCAGGCACTCCTGTTTTGCAGAAATTATAACTGAGCAAGGTAAGCAGTGGAAACCTTAGGGCAGTGGTGCAGAACCTATGGCATGTGTGCCTCGGCAGGCTCTTTGTTTCATTGAAGGCTCTAAAAGGTTTGCCATCACTGCCTTTGGTTGACATGGCTAATGGGTAGTTGTATGTCCTGGGACAAGTGTGTCTCCCTGATTCCCTACTTTAATTAAATTAACTTAATTAATAAATTTTTTTGGTACCGGGAATTCAACTCAGGACCTTGTGTTTGCCAGGCAGGTGTGGCACCACTGAGCTAAATCCCTGGCCCCAATTCCCTACTTTTAGCTGTTTTGGATTTGATTATATAAAATCTCCTCAAATGCATCTCTTACTAAAATGCTCATCAAGTTGGTAACCTGAGTTCTCTGAGGTGTGGGCCTACTTTGGTCACGTTCTCCATAGTCCTGAGGCAGCACACAGCAGGAGGCAGCTGTCCTGCCTGCCCTGTAAATCGATCATTAACGTAGAGGGTGGCTGGTGCTGCAGTTGGAAGAGGCTTAGAATGAGGAAGCACTCAGGAAGGCTTCCTGGAGGAGGGAACACTTGAGAAGTCTTGGATGACCAGTAGACACAAGCTCAGAGCAAACAGGGAAGAGGGGACACAGGGAGGGAGTTTGTTACGTGGGATGACTGTTGGCCAGCAGGTGGTGAAATGATCTAATTATAGGACAATGCCCACCTGGGTTTTCTTCTGTTGTTAGTATAGCTGTGACCTGTGTGCATCCGAAGGCAGTACGGATACTGGTGATGTAACCCAAACCTCGGGGACTGGGTTTGTGCTGCTTGCCTGCATTCCATTCTCCTTAGGGACCAGGTTTCCTCTAGCGCTGGCTGGGCAGTTATCAACCTGTGCTTTGGATCAAGCAGCCTGCCAGAGATTATTAAATTGATTGCTGTATTTGCAGAAATTCTTTTAAAGGTAGAGGCTTTGGTTAATTACAGAAAACCCTAAACACAGTCCAAATGACCCCCTTTCCTTTGGGGCAGGTCTTGCACTATTTTTAGTTACTGTTGGATTAGGTAATTTTGGTGAGTGTCCAGCTTTCAAGAAGCTCTCATGTACATGCCGGTGTGGATATGTAGAGACCCTGGCAAATGGACCTCTGATATTTAAGAGCGACATCTTCTAGGCAAAGAGGGTTGTTCCTGTGTGGGGGTGGGGGTATTCTGGGACCCATGATTCCCATTTACCTACCCACAGGAGCTGCATTTGTGGAGCACATGCTCTGCACCAGGTTCCATGCTGGTACAGGGGATCCAGGAAAGACAAGATAAGAGGTAGAAGCCAGTAGTGTAGTTGAGGCAGAGTATGGGGTTTGGCTTCCTCTTGTGGCGAGCCAGTTAGATTGCTTGGCAGTGGTAGCCTAGAATACTGGGGTGGATTCGTGTGCCACAGCACAGGGACAGGGTAAAGGTCCCAGCGCTGTGTATTTGCTGATGTGTCAGAGTTGTCTGGTGTAGACAGAATAATTTGAGGAAAGATTGGGTATGGGAGTGAGACAGCTTCTGTCTTAGAACAAAGGATGGTTGTCTTGGCTATGGTATGGGGTGTAATGGATCTATGTGGACCTGAAGTATTGATGTCACGGCTTATTATGCGCTGTCTTCAGGAGGCCCCTTAAATGACTTTAAGCCTTAGTTTCTTCAAGTATAAAGTGGAGATAATAATACCTGCCCCACCTAGATCATAATGTTGATGGGAGGAGCTAGTGAAATAATAGTATGAGAATGTTGACTACCCACAGAGTGATAAACAAATGGAACATTATTACTACAGGTGTGCTGGTGGCTGGAGCAGGAAATCTTTGTAGTTAGGCAAAGTTGAGCCAGATGGTAGTGGCCTTAGGGCCTTAGCACTGAGTCCCCTGTTCAGCCTGGTGGTTCTTGTCATATTCAGGTCATAACTCCAAGGCTGCTTCCACTTAGGCCACAGAATCTAAGTCTGACCTTGCTCTCTCCACCTCATGTCCATCTACCATGAGATCTTTTATTTTCTCCAAAGTTCTCACTAACTGAAATGGTCTGCTTAGATTCATTGTGCATCTCCTCTGTTAGAACAGTGCTGATGCGGTAAGGTGGAGAGCCTTCCTGCCCCACTCCTACTTTTCTATCCACAGAATCCAGAACAGTGCCCGGCACATGGGTGATACTCTTCACCTTGGTTGTATGAGTAAATGGAAGGGCTCTGAAGTCCCAAGACCCAGTCAGGCAAAGGCCCAGAAGTCCTGGGGGGACTGCTAAGAGCGGAGTGTAGTTGCTGTGACTTCATCTCTCTATGGACATGTTCCTGAATCTCTCATTTCTTTGGTTCTTGAGAAATAAATTCAATTAAATGCACAGTAATTGTAATTTAATTGAAAACTCTGGATCTGAGTACATGTTGTAATCTCCTATACAAAATAAAGACTAAGAATCAGAATTCGTGTGGGTGTGTGTGTGTGTTGCGGGTGGTGGTGGTAAGTAATAGCCCATGAAATTGCACAGTGTTTCCAATTTGGCAGGCTGGTGGATTCAATCTCTGGAATGTAATCTTGTTTTTTGAACTACATGTGATATGAATTAGATTTGAAACTTGTGAATTGGAAACAATTAATACTCAGCCCCTCCCCACACCAAAGTGATGTGTTTTAAATTGGCTTTTCTCCTCCTGCTGGCTGGCACCAGTTCCCTTTTCTGGAGTTTCTCTCATGTCCCGCTATAGGAGTCTGATGAATATGGCAACACTGTGCCGGGCATGCTTCCCTGACTTACTTGAAATGAACATAAATGGAGGGGGCTGTGGAGTGGCCCAGGGCAGTTACTGAGCCCCTGCCTGTAAACCCAGGTGTCTCTTGGGTATCTTCATGTTGAGCCTTGCACTTGGTGACTCCTTGGCTCTCTGGAGCTGCTGGGGCGCCCCTGCTTGGGACTCCCTTACTGGGCTGACTGATAAGTCACTGCTTTTCCTGCAGGGTAACCTGTTTGTGTGCTCAGTTTGAAGCCGTCCTGCAGCATGGCTTGAAGAGGAGTCGAGGATTAGCACTCACAGCGGCGGCGATCAAACAGGCAGCCGGCTTCGCCAGCAAAACTGAGACAGGTACTTCTCTGCCTTCTGTGGCTTGGAGAAGCTTTGCTTCTCTCTTGCTCTTTTTGTTTTTTTGTTTGTTTGTATGTATGTATTTGTTTATTGCAGGCGAGGCAGTCATTGTGTGGGCTGGACTGTGTGACTGTGCATGCAGAAATCCGTGCCTTATTTGTAGGTAAGATAATGGTGTCGCCTGGCTTCCTAATTTAGATGAAGTCATCCTGTGTGCAGATTTCTCAGAGCCATGTGTCACTCACCGCGCAGGTTTTGGGAGCCTGCAGCCAACATGCTTATTTCACCAAAGTGGCATGGCAGTTTTCAGGAAATAATGGGGATAGCATGACGTTCAATAATTAGATGACTTCAATGGCAACAGAAATCCCTCAGGTCCCTGAGCTTTGAGTTGTGCTGTCATCCATTTTAATGTAGTACAAACACATCCCTGAATGATGGGGATAATGCTATTAATAATAACAACTATCAATACTTGGTGCTTATTGCAAGCCTGGCCTCTGATAGTCTTTGAGGTATGTTAACTTGCTCAGTTCTTATGTCAGCCCCTAGAGTAGTAGGGGCCTTTGTTACCTCCATAGCATGGATGGAGAAACTGTTACCAGTGGTTTGCTCTGGATCTAAACCTGGGAGTGAATCATGTCATATGAAATGGCCAGTTGGGGCTGGGGATATAGCTCAGTGATGCAGTTTCTGCCTGGCAAGCAGGAGGCCCCGGTACAAAAAAGAAAAGGCCTGTGGTCTCTTCCTCCCATATTTCAAAAGGCAGGATTTTTTCTCATCCTGCTGTGGCTGCTACCCTGAATTCTTGACTCTTTTTTTTGTCCTTGTGCTGGTGTTAGTGTTGCTGCTGAAGAAAATGTGTTATCTTTTGCTGGTTTTCCTTTCACAGGAAAAAGTCAGAGCTGGTGTGTTGGGTGTAGGTGTCGGTGGAAATCCTAGCTGGATCCTTACCCATCTTCTCCCTTAGGTTGCTGTATCTCCTTTCTTTCACTCAGCCCTTCAGCAAATCTGTGATTCCTAATGCTGTCTCAGCAACTGCTCATTTTCACAAATGAATGTGGTTCCTATTGAGGTCAACAGATGGCTTTGAAGGGGATTCCTGTCACCACTGGGTTTTCTTTGGGGCTCCTGAGCCCTCTTCATGAAAAGCCAGGGAAAGAGGGCCCCATTTCAGAGAAAAGCCAGCATCAGGGGCCTCAGTCTTTGTAGAAATCACTACCAGTGGTCTCAGTGGCTTCTTGTCTCTGAGACACTTCCCTGAGCCTCTGCATGGCCATGGCCATGGTTAAGGGCTTGCGGGTAAGAGCACTTGGCTTGCTGGGTCCCCATCTTTCTTGTTTCCACCTTAGCTGTCTCTGGAGGTTAGTTATGTTGAAGGAACTGGTGTGGAGTAAGCTGTGAGGCTCTTGTCTGATTGCATCTGGGCAGGGACACTGCGAGTGTGGCAGAGGCTACCCTGGCTTTGGAGTGAGAGTGTGAGACAGTTTCCCTCTGAGCCTTAGGTTTTCACCTGTGAAGGGGGCCATTTTGTCTCCCTGAGGCTTGTCAGGAGAACTCCATGAGAATCTCACTTGAAACACCTGTTAAATGTTTAACCAGTTGCTCTCCTCTCCTCAGCACCTTTTAGCTTTTTAACCTCTCCCTTAGTTCGTCCCCCTCAGGACTTTGACCGTTTGCCCCTGAAGACTAAGGCTTTGCAAGGCATCTCCAGCAGGTGAATTCTTGCCACTCTTCTGTCTTAGCACAACTCTTGCACCTGCACCTAGAGAGAGGATAAGCGTGCAGAGGCTCTGTCTGTTTTCTGCTGATGAGGATGCGTTGGGCAGCACGTGGCAATTAGAAGAAGGGAACAGACCAGGCTAGCTTAGCCCTTGGGTGGCTGCCAAAGGCTTCATCATTGTTTTTATCAGCAGTGTTGATTAACCAGTCACGGGCTGGTAAATGATCCTTGGCTGAGTAAGGCCCTTTCCTTCTAGTGTGGTGATGGTGCACCACGGCACATGTGCCACAGTGGGCATTCAGAGCCCTCTCTGTGATGATGTCTCAAGTGGTAGGAACTGTTTTTTTCTAAACTAAAACCTCAGGATTCAGGTTTAATTGCAGTGTCAGCACTTGGGTTAAAGAAGTGTGTTTCAGGTTGCAGTTTGGGTACTCGGTTTCTACAGGGTTCGCCGTCATTGTTCTAGTGAATGATTGATGAAAATCTTCCCCAAGGAGGGTTTGTGGTTTTTCGACTGCTATGAGTTAGGTACAATCAGATCAGTGGCTTCTAGTGGCTGTTCTTAAAACTGTTGGGATGACCCCTTTGGACTAAATGAAGAAAATGAAATCTGAGGAGATTTGGTGATGATCCCCAGCCTTCCTCCTTCCTGCTGGCTGAAGGGTTGGGCACTTTATGGCCTGGCTCTGGAGTCGGGCAACAAGGCCAAAATACCTGCCCAGTGACTTGTCATACATGAATTCTCTGGGACACCACTTCTCTGAGCTTGTATTTCCTCAACTACAAAATAAGGTAATCTCAGGACCTGCCTTGTGAGGTGGTGGGGCTTGCTGAGGAAGCTGCTGCAGTGTCTAGGTGCAGACCAGCCAGCAGTGATGGCACATGCTGACAGGACCAAAACTTTCCAGGGTAGGCAGTGGTCTCTTTACTTATTTATTTATTTATTTGATGATGAAATTGTGGTTCAAGTTAGTTAATAATTTGCCCGTAGCTGGTAGAGGCAGAGCTGAGGATTCTAATCCAGTCAGATTGACTTCAAATTCCTCGCTTTTCCACCCCTGCCCCCATCTGTGGCAGCAGGCTGATGCCCATTACTGGGCTTCTGTGCACTGCTCTAGTTCAGTTAAAAAATTCACAGTGACAGGAGAGAATAAATAATGGTGGATTAATCCATGATAGTGTTGTGTTAGCTCTGTCTACACATGAGGAACATTGCTTTCTGCAGAGAGAAAAGCTGAACCTCAAAGTAATGATTGACCAGAATGACACTGTGGAACATCACAGTACGGTAGATGGAGATGTGTGCTGTCAGGGGCCTGACTGCACATGATCTTCTGGGGTTAGGGTTCATGGAGGACTGAGCTTAGGAACTGGTGCCCTTCGACTCTGCCTAAATTCTTTTTTTAGTTGCCAATATTTAAAAATTGTGGAATTTGATGTTGAAATATGGGTTCCAGCTTATGTTAAACTTCATACTGTGACTCTGGCCCCACATTTGCACTGGGCACTTCGGTTGGAGCAGAATACTACCTGCCTCTGCAGCTGGGGCAAATGTGTCCTTGTTCACCACAGTCTACACCTCTTCCTATTACGCCTGAAGTTGAGACAGTGTTGGTTGCCCTTTATTGTTGCACAATGCTGTGTTTTTCTTACTGTTTACTCGAGGGAAATACTTCTTGTTGCCACATCTTGTTATTTTATTTTGGCCCTTTTGGGTCATGATCCAGAATAAAGGGACTACTTAAGTTTGTGATAGCCCTCTTTATGGAGTCCCATTGTCACCTTTCCTGTGGTGCTGAATCAAGGCAATGATGTATGGTTTTAACCTAAACTCTGATAAATGTTTAAGGGCCAATAAATCCACAAATCATAGTGTGCAGCTCATTGTGTTGTCTCTATTCAATCCATTCATGTTACTCTTTAGGATCAAGGAGTAGAACATTACTACGATCCCAGGAACCCCCTCATGCCCTCTCCCAGTTATTTTGCCCACTTCTTTCCCAAAGGTAACCACTGCTCTGGCTTCTCACACCATGGATTTGTTTTGCCTGAATTTGAATTTAACTTACCATGTTCTTGTTTGTGTCTGGTTTCTGTTACTCAGCGTTTTTTGTGAGATTCTGTGTTGCTTTATACTAGTAGCTCGTTTGCCTTCATTGATGATTAGTGTTTTGCAGTTTATTTTTCCACTTTATTAACAACATCTGATCCATGTCCAGTTTGGGGCTATTATGAACAGTGCTGTTAGGATTGTTTTTGTACTTATGTGTTGGTGAAGATATGTACACATTTTATGTGGATCTGGGAATGAAATTCATGAGAGGTTCACTTACCCTGAGCTTTAGCTGTGGTCATACCACTTCCCATTTCATTGCTGTCAGTCTTGTGCCAGAGCTGCGGAGGCCCCACATCCCTGCCACCTTGATATTTTCCTGAAGGGTGTGTAGTATTTCAGTGTGGTGTTGTCATTTCCTGATGACTAATGCTGTTGATCCCTGTCTCTTATGCTTATTTGCCATTCTTATATCCACTTTTGTGAAGTAGTTGTCCAAATATTTTGCCTATTTAAAAAAATTGATTGATAGAAGTTCCTTCTGTATTCCAGACACAAATCCTTCCTTGCTATACAAGCATTACAAACATCTTTTCTCACTCTCTAGTTTACCTTTCATTCTCTTAATATTTGTTGATGACCAGAAATGCTCCATTTTAATAGTCTAGTTTATCTGTTGTCTTATTGATCCAGGTTTTCTGTCCTGCTGCAGAAATCTTTGCTTATTCCAAAGTCATGAAGAATTTATATGTTGGTTTTCTAGTTTTGTCTTAGTTGGGATTTTTTTTCCCCTCCTCTGGTACCGGGGATCGAACTCAGAACCTTGTGCTTGCCAGGCAGGCATGGTGCTGCTGAGCTACATCCCCAGCCCTGGGATTTATTTTTGTATATGGCATGTGTGGGAGGGCCATGTTTTAAATTTTTCCCATATAGATACCAGTTGACTGAGCACTATTTATTGACTCTTCTTTCTTAAGTGTCCTAAAGTATCACTTTGGTCATAAATCAGGTGTCCATATTTTTAGGTTATTTTTCTGGACTTTGTATTATATTGCAGTAGTTTACTTATCCTTGTGCCAGGGTCACCTTGTTTTAAATAGTATATTTATGAAAATATATATCTATATCTGGTAGGTGTAAGTCTTTTGACTTTATTTTTCAAGATTATTTGCCTGTTCTCAGCCTTTAGCATTTCTATATGCATTTTTAAATTCACCTTGTCAA